ACCACTCTGAAAGGCAGGGTCGCCCTGGCGCCACGACGAGAATCGGCATCCTTAACTTTCAGAAGCGCGGAAACTGAAAGTCCGACATTCCGGGTTTGCCTAGCAGCACAAAGACATCAGCGGCCTGGTCTGGCCACTTGCAACCAATTCTCTACTCCCGTTTGGTTGATGCGCTCAGCTGACATCATCGTCCAGCCATTAGATCAAAAGACTCAGGCCCAAAACCCCCAAATCTCTAAACCAATAAACCCAAAGCCCGAAACCCCAAATGGCCCCAAATCCGTGACATCAAGGAACCTCGGTGAGTGAGCTCGATGGCATCCCCTGCGAACTCGAAGAGGTCCGCGCTCTCGCTGAGCACCATGTGTCGAGAGCCTGAGTGCGCTGAATGAGACACAGGTATGCGACATAAAACCATGATTCGTGCTGTTCAAACGCAGTGGAAAGCAAATCCACCGGTCAATTGTGGGGCACACGCTTCTCGTCAAGTAACGCACAATCCGGCCAAGCAAAAGTGCTCGCCCGCGCTGATCAGTAGCCTGGATCTCGGTGTTTAGGCCTGGCAACATGATCGGAAGGCTCTGCTCACATACATACTGCAGATTAGGCTGGCACCTACGCTGCAAGCTTGCACTCGCCTCTCTGTTTTGTCCGAGTCATACAGGCAACAATCTCATCCCAAGCTCGTGCTGCGCGCAGAGGTACAGGATCCTGGTTTTTCTTTCTTTTCCCCTGTTTTAACACTGCATTGATCATGTTCTGGACATCTTGTTTTTCGAAAGATTTCATAACCAAGTACCGGAGCTTCAGATCATCACTCTCTTTGTTGAGGAGCTGCTGGTCTTCTGTGGTAAGCTTAGAAAGCTCAGCCTTCCGCAACCGCTCTTGCATCTCCGTCTTGGTGAAGGGATTGCGGGGAGCATCGAGCGAAAGGACGCGCTGCTCGAATTCAAGTGTATGCCCGGAAGTCTGCTGGCGGTTGAACTCTCGAAAGTTGTCTCTGGGAACGACCCAGTAAACAACAATCTTGGTGATGCCGAGATCCTGTGCAGCATGTTCCAAGGCGAGAAGATCCAGGGGGTGTTTTGCGCTGACGGTGATCTGGAAGCATGTCATCACGCCGTCCTTAGGGGTATGGCAAAAAACCAGGGGCGCTACACACAAGCACTGCACATCAGCGCAGGCACTTTGACAGAACACATGCTGTTCGGGTCCTGAACAGGAGCCAGGCATGAATCAATGACCGGCAGGCCCTCATCTCTGGGCCGCATGTATCGTGGCTGCCCGGTGGTGGCAGCTTTGAAAAGATCGGCGATGCTGCCGTCCACGACTTCTACATCGAGTGGCGGAAGCCGCATCTCGAACATGGGAACGGTGACGTTGGCCATTCGCGTCAGCAGCAACGTCCCCCGGAAGAGCACTTGGTGCGCGAGGCGTTCGTAGAGAACTCCGAGGATGGGCTTTGCAAGCGGGTCAAACGTTGTCAAAAGGTCAGCCAGTTCCTCCTCATACTCGTGAATGGTCAGGTCTAGTGCCTCTTCGCTAACAAACTCAACCCTGCTCTTGGTGGCATCGTCTTCTGGTACTATCTGGAAGAGAAAGTGCGCGGGCTTCAACTCGCGTCCCTGATCAACGATGCCCGAATTCCAAACCCGCCTGACCAAGTTCTGGTTCGACAGGGTATCGTTGCGAGCTTTCTCCACCGGCTCAGGGTCGCCAATCAGGTGTCGAACAATACCACCAAATCGTCTGTAGCGCTCGTCCACCTGGTTCTTGTTCAATTCGGGACGGAGATACTTGAGAATGCACCGGGCCTCCTGCAAGCTGCACGCGGCCATGAACAAGTACTCTAGGTTGAGCTTCTTCCACTCTCCAAGGTGCTGCGGATCAGGTGAGGGGGCGACAACAGTCTTCGCGTTCACAAAACAGATGCCTCCGTTTTCTGCCGCGCCGGGGTCGATGACATAGTAGTTCGCAAGGGCTTTCAGCTCTTCACACGCTGCCGGCTCCCAGTCTTTCCGTGTCATGCTGCCGACCTCGTAGGTGTTGGCGCGCGGCTTGAACAAGTACACCATATTCCACCTGCGTGCTTCGAAGACAAAGGTCTTGTTTGCTTTCATGAGCTCGCGGAACAAGAAGGGCATGGAGAAGGATTTGCCGATGCCGGGCGAGCCGGTCACCACCACATCCCGCGGCGCGTTGAAGGCCGCCTGCCAGACCTCTCGTTGCTGCTTTCGAACGAAGAGCCATGGCTTGGCTTCTTTCGGACCCAAGCTGGC